GGAAGAGGATATTCTAATATTCTGGGAGAAAGCAAACCATCGGTCTCTCCTACCCATTTCCCAAGAATGGAAATCCACAGCAACAGCCTCCTTTTGGGCTATTGGAGTGGATATTCAGCCCCTGTCAAAACCTTTGGACTGAGTTAGCTTCTGGGTCTCTGAGGCTGTCTCCCCTTCTCAAGAGGCAGCACTCAGTTGGGATCGCTCTCTTAGAAGGTCTTGGTGAAGGTGCCTTGGAAAACCAAGGTTTTGGAGGTCGCCAGGGACAAAGAAACATCGCACAGTAGCCAGTAGCTCTCTGCTCGCTTTTTAATTTAAGAAAGTTATCTTTCAAAATGATGATTATTAAAAGATCATCTTATTGGGGGCACTTACAACTCTTATGACAATCCACCCATCAATTGTATCAAGCATATTTGTACATATGTTGCCATCATTCTTTTCTAGACATTTACTTTCTATTGAGCCGGTGGTATCAGCTCCTCTCCCCCTGCTTCCCCCCCCAACCCCCTCCACTCCTGGTCCCTCAGCCCTGCGCCCAGGATTCAGGGCTCCTGAGGAAGGTGGACTGGCCTCAGCCCTCTGGAGCCCAAGGTCATTGTGGTGTCTGCCTGGCTTCCCTTGGTCTGCACTCAGCTTTCCTGAGATCCCGCAGCCCCCACCTCCCACTCCACCACCACCCCTTCCCCCACCCCCCAGGGGACTTAGTGAGGACTGACATCAGTCACGTGGGCGGTCCCTGTCACTTGCCTACCTTCTGCAGGCTCACAGGGTTGTCAGGAGATTGTTGCTTTGGACGTTCCTTGGCTTTCTTTTGGCTTCTCCCGCTAGGTGCCACTTTTTCTTTTTAATGCGCCAGAGTGATTCCACTCTACCCTGTGGAGAGGTGGGGCACCCGCTTCGGCGTGAGGCAGCCCTGTTCCAGTGGCTTTGCTCTAACCACTGGGTCTGCCCTAATGAAGCAGGCACTGTGCCAAGCGCCGAGGTTGACACGGATTCAAAGTCTCACTCATCTTCATAAGGTCTCCATTAGCTAGGTGAGGCCATTCAGGCACGGACCGGTCGTTTCCCTAGGTCCCTGGGGGTCTGTGACAGCAAGGAAGGGGCAGCGAGAGAGATAGAGAGGGGAGGGGAGGGGAGAATAAGAGGAACGCAGAGGAATAAGAACGACGAGGGACTGATGATGACTCCACAGTCGCCCAGAGCATGGTCACTGAAGCCCTTGTCCCCCCTCCCCCCAGTCCGTTTTTGCCAGGAGGAGGGGCGGGCTAGGAAACGGAGGTCCGCAAAAGTGCGGAAGGAAGGCTTATGATGACGCAGACAGGGCTTCCCAGGGAAAGAAGACATCCTGACAGGCGTGGCCACCGGGCTGGGAAAAGGTGCATTATTTCCATGGGGGGTGGTGGTGGCAGGCAGCCGGGCGAGGACGCCCTTCCAGTGGCCACACGCAGCCATTGGATGCAGAAGCCGTGTGTGTGTGTGTGTGTGTGTGTGTGTGTGTGTGTCCAGGGACCTCAGGCCAGCAAAACCATCCATACACACGAGCCTGCTGCAGCCCGTGGGCAGTAAGACCGTGAGGGTGCCGATTTGCTTCCATTTTTACTTCCAGGCATGGCCAATGGCAGACCCCAGGCCCTTGGGGCCCTGAGGCATTGCACCTTTGGCTGAGATGTCCCTGTGTTCCAGCAGGCTCGCCTCATCGCCCTGCCCCCGCCTCCCGTGTTCCAGCAGTCTCTTCTTCCCCATTCTGCAAAGATCCCGCACTCCCCCGCTGCCTGTGCGCCTGGCTTCCTGTGGGCTCAGCCCCTCGCGGTTGTCAGCGCGTCTTCGGAATGCATTTGATAGGTACAGGAAGTTGCACCAGACCGGAGATGGAACCAACAATCAATAAGCATCATACTAAAAGGAACTGGGTTTCGAAGAAAGATGCATCACGGCTTCCCACAGGAGCCTTGGACTATGTGCCGACGCCCGCGGAACAATGGATCTGCCTTTGCGCTGCTCCGCTCGGCCGGCCCACGAGAACCCGGTTCTTTGAACCTGCCACGCCCCGGCTTCCCGGCTACGCACAGCCGCGATGGCGTTTCCGTTCAGCCCCATGGTCAGGTATCACCGAATCCACCTGGTCCCCTTCTCCCCCCGCCCCCAGCTCCATTTCTCCTGGCTACTCGGTTAGTATATTTATGGCGCATGAGTCATCGAGCTGCCGCCGGATTGGACGAACACCCAGCACCCCTGAGACCGGCAGTCAATTACAGCTATTCTCAGCTTCATTCACAGATTTATTAGCTCGCGCACGCAGCGGAATCCATTCAGCAAAGTTCATTCATAAAAATTTCAACACGCTGCCTATCACCGTGCCCATCTCAGTCTGCGGCCGCGCAAGGGTTCCAGCAAGAAGCTCGGGGAGAACCGGGCGGCGGGGGTTGGGGGGGCTCGGGGGGACCCGGAGGGGCTGAAAGCCCGAGACACCATGCCGAGCAGCCTCTAGTCCTGCTGGCCAAGAAGGGGATGCCCGACCCGATCTTCCACGCGACGGCAGCTGGCCGCATCCACAAACCCCGGCAGAAGGGCCCCGGGCTCCCCTAGATCGGTTTCAGCTGCTTGGTAACACGAGCCATCCCCGGAACAAATAAAGGGTTAATAGGCCGGCCCCGCCCCGCCCCGCGGGCACCCGAGGGAGCAGGTTTGAAAGTTCCAGTGTGCGGCTCGGAGGC